AAATATAATAAATACAAAAATGTATTTAAATATACAGTAGCCTCGAAAAGAAATTTGAAAATGTATTTGCCAAATTATTGCACTAAACGCTATTGCAGCATACCAAATAAAAATTGTGCTTCATCTGATACATTAATATTACATCTGTGTTAAGCGTCGCTGGAGTTATGGTCACTAAAAATTGACCTTAAAAAATCACACTTGGTAAAACTGTGCGAAATCAAAAAAGTGAAAAAATGTCTTTGCACATGTACTAAGGAGAATCCATTATTGATGAATGGATATAAAGCTTACATTTGCATATCAAATGAATGGAGAATTTTGCCTGCAGTAAACAAAAATAAATTACAACTGTTTGAAACAAACCTGATAACATAGCAGTCACACGCAAAACTCAGTCTTAACAATAAATGTGCTTTTGGGATTTTGTTAAGGAGCCATTGGTTTTGTGTAGAGTACAATCCCTTTAGACATGGCCTCTATTGAATTTTGGACATAATTACCCGTCATTTCATCCCACATGTCAAAAAGATTGCAATTAATCTGTCTGAATTGGGAGCAAAGTCCATTTTTTTCGTCAGCTATTTAATCGGGCTTCACATACCTGTAAGCTTCATATCAAGGCAGTTTACTGGTGATAACTCCCACATTGGTATGATTTATTGGTTTTCCAAGAATTGTTTAGTGGCATTGATCACATGAGAAAGTCCTTTGTTATGCATGGAGACGTCTACTTGAATGACACCAGGGCAAAAATTTGGATAAGACATGACGTTGCAGCACTTGCTCGATGCAAGTCACCTAAATCGATATTCTGACGTGGGCGGTTTTGTTCATTCCACCCCTGCCCACCCCAAACCATGGCAATTTCGCAGCCTCTGTACTTCACCGACAGATGATTTTGTCCAAAATCTAACTTTCGCTTGTTCACTTTCGTCCGACCGCGATAAAAAAATCTAGCTCATTGAGGAATGTTGCCCACAAAACGCTGCATGGCACTTCAGCAGGCCAGAGGCCAAACAAAAATATTTTTTCAAAACAGCTTTTATTTTTGGGCCCTGTATTTAATGCCGCTCTTTGAGTGCATACACAGGATCACTAAAATAAAGGACTAACAGTTGCCTCAACCACAAATTATTCATTTTGAGACAGGACACCGCCTTGCTTGACCCTTTGCAGTGTAGGCTTTGTAGATCTCAACCCCGGACTGTCTAGACGTCTCCACGTGCTCCATGTGAGTCTCGAAAAATAGTCACCCCGTCTCATGAATCGTGTTACTAAGGGGAACGTTAAAGAATGGTGTTGAGGAAAATATAATGTCAACTTTTAAAAGTTTTAGGCGTATGCTGTAAATCCCCAATTATTTTTTTACCCGCTTTAGGCTTACAGTAAAGAAAATGTGTCAGAACCTTAGTTTGCAGTGACTTTTATGAATGGGCTTTTAGATCCTGTTGGTCATCCAACTTTTAGACCCGTATGCAAAATCGGTGAAGATTGAACAGAGTGACTTCATTTTTATCTTGTTTTGACTGCAGTCAGATAAAATTAAACAAGCCATAATAGAGTCCATGTGCAAAAAGGGTTTCCTGCCAATGGCTCCTAAACAAAACAATGTATTAATGAGCACTTGTAATGTTAAGTCGTGGTTTTGTGTGGTAGGCTATTTGTGACTGCTCTGTTTTCTAACCTGAAAATATCATCAGAAGATGCTATTCATTGCAGAGACAATAATATTCTCGATTCACTTGATATTAAATACATGTGTACACTTCACAAATGTTGATGAACATCAACAAAGGCGCAAAAACACGTTTACATTTGTTTCATTTTGCGTACACACTTTTACGTTTGTTTGGTTTTGCCAAGCTTTATTTTTAAGGTTAATTTTTAGTAACCATAACTCAGGTGACTCTTAGTATATAATGAAATATTAATGTGTCAGATGATTAAATAATATAAAGCTAACAAAATTTTGCATCATCTGACACAATAATATTTTTATTGGTATGCTGCATAAGTGGGTATAGTGCGCAACGCTTACTAACGATGACGGGGGATTACTTTTTCAAGTTTCTTTTGAACGCCAATTTATGTGTGTGTGTATACTTTACGAAAATAAATATATTTATGTGTGTATGTATAGATATAGACATATGTAATATATACATATAGGCTCCTCTCTCTCTAGATATAGACATATGTAATATATACATATAGGCTCCTCTCTCTCTCTCTCTCTCTCTCTCTCTCTCTCTCTCTCTCTCTTTCTCTCTCTCCCTCTCTCTCTCTAAGTGTGTGTGTGTGTGTGTGTGTGTGTGTGTGTGTGTGTGTGTGTGTGTGTGTGTGTGTGTGTGTGTGTGTGTGTGTGTGTGAGGCAGTGTGGTGTAACTGCTTGTCAAAAGAATGAAACCAAAGAAATCGGTGTTTTTCTGGGAGTTGGGCAATTTTTACAAATTTTCTCTTTTCGGCTCAAAACCTTTGATGTCCTTTTAAAAACAAATTCGTGTGTGGATGTTACAAAAAAACGATGATTAATTTAATTTAAAGTTTCAAAACATGTAAATTTCCAGTTTCCAAGGACACTCAAGCTTTGGAAATCACCAAACTTTGGCAGCCATATTCTCGCTAATTTTACCTCTCACACCAGGCAACCCCCACCTCCAGCAATCATCTCAACTTCTAATCAAGATAGATGCATATTTTTCCCCATGTGCAAGACAAATTAACAAGTTTTGAGATAATACCAGTAACTCTATACGCCCAAAAATTGACGAGGGCCTGATTCCACCACATCACAACCCACACACATATAGATTCTATGTGGCACAAGTTTTGGGCATATGGGGTTATTGGTATCATCTTAGAGCCGTTCAATTGCCTTGCTTTTGGTTTTAAAAAATCCATGTATGTTGAATAAAAGTCAAGATATTTGCAATTGAAGGGTGAGGATCATCTGGCATCAGAGGTAAAATGAGCGAGGAAATGGTTGCCAAAATTTACTAATTTTCATAGCTTGAAGATGCCTTGGAAACTAAAAATTTTACATTTTTTGTCCCTTTATATTCAATATCTTTCAGTAAAATCCACACAGAAATTTGTTTTTACATGAATGTAAAAAATGTTGAGTCAATAAAAGAAAATAAAAACAAAACTGCCAGACGGCCAGAAAAACACCAGTTTCTTTAATTTCAATATTTTGACGAGAGCCTGATTTCACCAGAAT